TTTAACTGACAACCCAGCAGCCTGGGAACAGTCAGGACAGAGGCCAACTGTGATTGACCAGTCTGAGAAGAGCAGCAGGAAACTGGAATTAATGCAGCTGGAAAAAAAAAAAAGTTGTCTGCAGTGCGTGTGTGTGTGCGATAGATGACTATGGACAAACCAGCTGACTTCTCATGCTGGGATCTCCCATTCCTAGCCCTTCTAGCATTTCAGTGCTAGAGCTGGGAGGCTAATCAATGTCTGCAGATGCTGCAAAGCACGCAGCGAGCAGTGTTTGCATCACACCAGATACAGTTGATGCCAGTTTCTGTCACACTCCTTGTGTGTAGGTAGCATAATATTAGCATAATATTTCTTAATGTAAATATGTAAGAAAAATTGTGTATGTTTCTGTTCCGTGTCCTGTTTGTTTGTATATTTGTCTTTTTGGCTGCTGTTACAACCAAATTTCCCCCTTGTGGGACAATTAAAGGATTATTCTATTCTTCTATTCTATTTATACTCTCTATGCATTGGCACAAAACATTTTATCTAAAAAAGGGTTTTAGCATCACTACTTACAAAAATACTGATTCCATCACATCAAAATATTCTAATTATCATTATTATTGTTGACACTTCAGTTTAAGATTTAAGAGGTGCGAACAGGAAGCATAACATTAGGATCAAATCTGTAGGCCAGAGCCGGTCTAAGAGAGGCAGTTAATTTACAATTAATCCCACTGTATAGAAATTAGCGGCTGTTAAACGATGACAGTACATCATTAAACATAATAAGATAGCATTCAATGAGCAGAAATTAATGGAGTGAACAGCCCAGGTAATAAATGATTGCAAAACTGCAGCGAGGTGCTCAGGCTGCATGCACAGCCGCTGCAGCTTCTCTGCTGAATAGTCAAATCGCTTGGATTTCCTCAATTTTTAGAACATCAGCAAGAACTAGTCACCACATGCCACGCCTCTGCCTCATGCTTCTCCATGCACGCCATGACTTGTGATGTAAAGGTGGAGTTTTAGTTTTGAAGTCCTAATTGTCAAATATTCAAAGTCATTTTCATTTTTTATTATAAAAGCAGTAATGCATGAAACTCATTTTAGGGCAACACATTTAATCTACTAACATGTTTTAATCTCATCTCAGACCTACAAAACGATACACATGAAAAGGATGGTTAGTGACCACAGTGGACATCCAAGGGTTTAAAAACTTACATGAAGTAGATAGGGTATCCACCTTCGAAATACCAGCAGTACTTTTTCGCCTCTACACACTATAAAAGAGAAAAAGGTGATGATTAAAAACTTGCAACTCTTTCCAACTCACAAAATGAAGCTCAGTTAGCAGCAGCAGCAGCTCTTGCTGGGTTCTCAATTTTTCAAATGGTCTTAAACGTTTGATCGGGAGTGTATTATGTGTGGTGTCGAGCAGGGGGGTAATTAATGTTGCCTGAGCAGTACAAAGAAGTTTGTAGCTGGGACATTCCAGCCAATAGCTGACAAATGAGGGCTTAGGAACATAAAAAATAAAAAGGTAATAAAATTATTTATAATAAACTCCATTTACTGCAAAGTAAAATGGGTTCTAGTGTACAGATTCACTGACTGGGGCTTTACTCGTGCTAGGGTAAAGCTTCTTACCCCTAGAAAAGATCCAGTGTGTTCATGGACTCATTTCCTGCTCTTCCCATGAGAATGAAACCATTTTAAATTGCATTGGAAAGAGAGAGCCTCGGAGGGTTTTAAAAATATCTTTAGCTTTTGCGTATCACTTCCAAAGAAAACCTTAAATAGAGTCCAGGAAACTGCTTCTCAAAAACAGCTTAAGTCCACAAGAAAGTCACTCAGTGGATGAAAGATGCAGAGACATTTTCACTGTGACCAAAAACCTGAAACACGGGCGCCAGCTTGGCTCACTGGGAGGGGCGGGTGGCAACGTGCCGCATGGCTGAAATCGGTCGGACCTGTTAAAAGGGATTTTTTCCTTCCCACTGTCGCCAAAATGCTTGCTCAGAGGACGTCATATGATTGTTGTTTTTGTCTGTATTCTCTGTATCATTGTATGGTTCTTACCTTACAATATAAAGCGCCTTGAGGCAATTGTTGTTGTGATTTGGTGTTATATAAATAAAACTGTCTCTTATCTCACATTCATCTAGACAACATAAGCCTTTATGACTCAGTAAGCAATGTCAGTCACCTCTGGCATGAGGGATATGAGTGTGAAACAGAACTATTCCACTGTTATATCCTGTACATTGGAAGAAACAGGAGAAAACTACAGTACGATTAATAACATTATCAATCTGAAAGTGTATTTAAGATATTGCTGGAAAAGGAAATGCTCAATTTCACAATTTTTAACCTTGTTACCATCTATTCACTTGTATTTGGACCTAATTCTCATCCTGTCTTCAACCCTCTGCCAGCCATGAATACAATCCAGCTCTGTTCATTGTCTTTCTCTAATTAAAGCTGGTTGGAAAAGCTGACAGTGGAGAAAAGAGTCCCTCTGTGCTCCCACAGGACAAAAATGACCATTACGCAACCAGAGGATGTGTTTTCTTGCTTTAAAAGCAGCTCAGATGGCTTTTGGATTGAGGACGCCGAGAGGGATGAATAGTTCAAATGGTTGTATGCTGCACTGAAAGCTTTTAGAAGCAGCGAAAGTGTTCGGAATGATCAGGAAGGGAAGAGCTCTGCAACAGTCGGACATCCGAGAACACCACTTTGCTCCAACACAGAGCCATCAACCTCATTTGAATTTTGCTCACTTGGACTGTGTTGCAAAAATTTCCTAATAAGACATAAAGCAAGAAAAACTTTCTTCCAGGACTGATATGAAAATAGCCACAGAGAGCTTATGAATGTTGTTGCAATGGTCATACTTGTCTTCAGTTTTTCAACTCTTTAATTAAATCTAATATTTTGTTCCATCTCTTCTAATCCTCTATGTCCTAGGTCATGGTCCAGACCCAGACTTCTTTGTGGAATCAGACCTTTTACTAGGTTTTGATAAACCTACATTTCTAGATTACTCTGCACAACTTTTCCTGTATTTACGGTAGTCAGTGTATATACACAGGATACTAAGTCATGCTTGTCAGCCATCCAAAGCATTTATTCAAAGCACATGGGAAAGCAGAAAACTCCACAAGGACACGAGATACTGAAGTCCGATGAAGTCAGGGAACCAGGAAGATTAAAGCTGAGATGGTTTCCATGTGAAATGTGTTTAAAGAAAAAGAGCATTTCAAACTTCACCTTTTCCAGCACCACTTCACATTGGGGTCCACGTATCATTCACCGCATGACACACTTGAGGACTTTTATTGCTTTAGTCTGTACTAAGCTCTTTGCACCCATCTCCATCATATACCCAAAACTATAAGGAGCAATCATTTCTACACTCACTAACCACTTTATTAGGTACACCAGTTGAACTGTTCCCTGATCCAATGCACCCAACCAATTTGAAACTCAACATGTCAACAAATTTGGAGCAACTGAGTGATGCTATCATGTCATATAAAGTAAAATCTCTGAGGAATCTTTTTAGAATTGGCTTCATAGCATAGATTTAAAGACAAAAAGGGGGCTACAGCTAACTACTAGTGTGCCTAAAAGTGCCAGGTTAGCAAACCTGGGGTTGAATTACTTATCTTTGTTAGTTTATTGTGAACAACTAGCAACAATCAGAACGTTAAGTCTAGGATCTGGTTGCAGTCCTATTACATCAATCAACAGTATTGACCCCACGGGTGTTTCCTTAACTGTGCCAGTTCAAAGTTGATATTTGCAGAACTTGGTACCACCCATTTGGTTGTTCCCAAATCCCAAATTCCAACAACTGCTCATACCTAACACCTGTTTAACTTCTTCTTTATGTTTATGTCAATAAAGGCCGTGAAGCCCATTCAAATCTGAACATCATACAACAATAGAGGTCACAATTAGTTTCTAAGCATTTCCTGAATATAGAAGAAAGGTGAAATTACCATGTGTCACACAACTGAGTGGCAGCGCCTTCATATTGTTATTATAGCCACAGATACATCCTTTTCTGATCAACACGTGGTCTCTTTCTGATACAAACTTGGAAATTTGCCTATTAATTGAAAAACTAGATGGTGTAGAGATGCTCCAGGATAGGCAGAGATATGGAGACACAAACAGAATTGTCAGTTTTTTGTTAAAGACGATGCTTATGTCGCCCCACCAAATAAAACTGAGGTATGAGTAAACACATGGCCAAAGACGTTAAGCTATGAGCCATAATGGGAATATGGAGAATTTTTGCATCCATAAACTTTTGAGTTTGGCAAGAAATTACAGTATGTTAGTTTCTACAATTATTTGTACGACTTGCAATATTGTTGATGGTTTACAAGGGCAACATGAGGAAACTTTTACGGTCCAAATACTCTACATAGACTAATATAGTCTATTTGGAGCTCGAGGTTTTCCCATAAATACACAAAACAAACTCAACTCAATGTTTTTAATCCGTTAGGTAATACTGAGCTTAACTACAGGAGTATGAAAAGAAAAAAAGTGATGACCAGGCTTTTACTTATTATTACCCTGCTGCTGTAGTTCTTAAAAAGCTGATCGTCTCAGGGATCTTTTTGCTGCATCGACAGATTTCAGATGTGTGAAGAAGGTGCTGTATCTAACCAGCTGTTTACCTGATGGCACCACAGTAACAGTAATAATAATTTGAAGATCTGTGGACAGATTATTCTACTGCAAGCAAATCACAGCAATATCAATCAAAGGGTGGCAGATGAACACACAGAACTTCCACGTTACACAGTCAGTAACTACCAACCTGATGAGACAACAAATAAAACAAATGTGTAATAATACTGGAAACCCATCCATCTTCATCCGCTTTATCCGAGGCCGGGTCACAGGGGCAGCAGCCTAAGCAAAGAAGCCCAGACCTCCCTCTCCCCAGCCACCTCCTCCAGCTTATCCGGGGGAACACCAAGGCGTTCCCAGGCCAGCCGAGAGATATAAACCCATAATATATTAATTTTAATAGAAAAAACAACATTCAAAGTGAGCTTTCAGATTTAAGAATATGCCCCCAAACCCCACCCTGTTAGCATTTAACAACACAACAGCTTCTATTCTATTGCTCTATTGTCTCTGAGTATTATGCCAAAGGTTTTAAGCCAGATGAACCATACAAAATACCAACCTCTTTATATTTACCCTGAGGCCACTATCAAAAGTGATATTATTGAAAACCTCATCATAGGACAGAAGCGCTGTGTTTTTAATTAATTAACTCAGCATTTGGTTTGCTGCCGTTTTAATGCCAACTTAACATTTGTGCTACACTGACACCGCGGTGTAGAGGCTGGAACACTCACTTCAGAGTAAGAGGGTTCTCGGGCTGGATCACTTGGTTAGCTGAGGCCTTCCTGTGTGTACACTGAGGCTTCTCTTCCTGTCTTGGTTTTTAAGCTAAATTCATTAGTGATTCTAAACTGGCAATTAGTGTAATTCATTTACATAGAAAGAGCTTACTGTAAAGTCAGACATTTGAGCTTTGCCAGACTTCAAGTACTTCCATGAAAGGGCGTGCACTGAAATAATGAATCTTTCTCCACAAATATGCAGACCAGAAGATGGAGCATGTTTAGGAAGAACGGGGTCTTTGCCCATGATGGAAATGTCACATAGCCCATTGTATTGTAGGATGGTGTCCTCACGTTTGGTGTCAAGAATACAACGGGTCCAGTTCCCACAAAGTGTTTTGGAGTACTATGCAATGCCCCTCTAGAAATTTTAAGTGTAGCCATGATTTGACGATTGCTTCAATCACAATCACATTTCTGAAGACATGTTTTCCATTGTCAGTAAGTAAATGTCCTCTTGGAAACTTAAGGCAATATACGACAACTAGACAGGAAAACTGAGCAGTTAATTTGCTTGAACAAGCCTCTGATGGGTCAACTAAACAAGACCGTTTGCCACTAATCAGCTTTAATCTGACCATTTGTTAATCTTGATATAGTCAGTAAAAGGCACATTAAAATCAGTTTGGTACTGGCACTGCTATAATTCACTTCAATTTTATTTATATAGCACCAAATCAAAACAGCGGTCGCCTCCAGGTGCTTATAGTTCACCTGGTTGAACAGGCTGGGTTTGAGTCTGCCCTGGAACATATTCTGTACGTCACACCCTTCACTCTGGCCTTTCTGGGCGATCGTGGCTCAAGAGTTGGGAGTTCGTCTTGCAATCGGAAGGTTGCCGGTTCGAGCCCCGGCTTGGACAGTCTCGGTTGTTGTGTCCTTGGGCAAGACGCTTCACCCGTTGCCTACTGGTGGTGGTCAGAGGACCCGGTGGCACCAGTGTCCGGCAGCCTCGCCTCTGTCAGGGTGGCTGTGGCTACAATGTAGCTGCCATCACCAGTGTGTGAATGGGTGGATGACTGGATGTGTGAAGTGCTTTGGGGTCCTTAGGGACTAGTAAAACGCTGTATAAATACAGGCCATTTACCATTCTATTAAAGTAAAAAAAATTTAAAATGTCATAATAAAGAACCAGTTAGAACTGGTTTGGCTGCCAAAGCACCACTATAATGTTAATCAACAGTCCCTGATAATGGTAAATATAATTTATTGCAGGCTTCATAGCTCATACAGAAAGTTTAAACCCCCTACAAGCACCGATCATGCAAAAAACCCTGAAGCAGAGCCTTGTTTAACTGTTGTCATCTGGTGTGCACATTTCAGTAGCTACCATCCAACAGAGAGCACATGAGTGAGGCCCACAGGCCACAATGAGAGAATTAATTAGTTTCTGCTTTAAGGACATTTTAATCTTCACTCTTCAGGTAAATTTACACAGTGTCAAAGTGTGAGTCTCACACTGTGTGAGTCTGTGTTTTACTAGTGTTTTGAGGCCCAGCAAACAGTGAAACAGTGACTCCTCCTGATCCGCTTTCATCTAACAGAAAGCCGATAAGATAACAGGATTCATTAGTTGCTGCCTCTGTTGCAAAACAGTGCTTCAAACCCACTAAACAGTATTTTTAAGAAATATAGCTTACCGCTGTCTAATATTTATTTTATAAATATTTCCCAATGCTGCCATTTCCGGTTCCCAATGTCAATCAAACACTGACATCACTGGGAGCTAAAAACACCCCCAATTTCTTCTTCTTAATGATCCGTGCATCCATGAAAAAGACATCTTACTGACTTAGAAATTAGCAGGAAGTTAGCTTGCTTGTTTCCATTTTCAGGGATTTCGTAAAAACCAAAATGTTACAGCTCTGCTATCACTTTGTACATAAGTGAAGAAAACTAAACAGCACCAGGATTATTATTACCCCCTGAAGAAGCATGTCCCAGGGTCTAAAGCGTGCTTCCTGTGAGTCAACGCTGTTATAAGTGACACTAAATATCTAAGCTGTCAGGACCCGTCCTCAAAGCGGACACTGCAGTAGCAGCACAAGGTCTGAGGGCTCGACTCCCTCTAGGCAGCCTGCTTGAATTCAAAATGAATGTGTGCTCACTACATCTGCTGAATGAAATAAAATAGTAATGATGAGGGTTAATATTACATGAATAGACAGGAGTGTCAGCAGTGCGAGGCTGATAGAAAGAGGGAGCTACATTTAGAGGCTGTAAAATTAAACTGGAGCTCGTTTTCACCTTTTTTAAATGATCCTTATATCCCCAACAAGTGCAGAAGGGTACATCAGAGGAAAAGACCAACACTACAAAAGAGAAATGTGAATATGACTGCGTGCACACTGATTCAGACTGCTGCCGTGTGTCCTACAGGCCCAGTAACCTACTGAGGAGTTATGGGGGTCTGAGCACAAAGACAAAGGATGGCAGAATCACAGGTAGCTCACCCACTCAAACAATCCGATGTGCACATGTGGGGGTAAAAGCCATATTACTGTTCCACACTGTTTATTCTGCACGAACACAATCCCACCAGCTTTGCCTTTTTCCACATTTCTGATTTTGTTGCTATATCCCAGCTTAACGTTGAGCTTTTACAGATATTCGAGCGTCTCTCGTTGTGACGTTCATGAAGTTGACAAAGAGTGCCGCACGTACAGCGGAGGTCCTTTCTCACTGAGCCGGGCACGCCGGCTTCTGTTAGGTCGGATCTGTCGGCACTAACGTATCGGAACTACATCACAGTCAGCCCCGGCACAACAACAAGGCGAAAGCCTTATAAAGGTACAGCCAGCGGCGTCACCCAGAACCCGCGCCTGCCCGTCACAGCGCTATTAATACCACAGCAACACCGGAGGACACCTCACCTCTACAAATAGCCACAATGTCAGGGCTGCATCGAGCAGTGGATGTCTCATATCTCCGTCGGTAGGAGAGTGGGAGCGAAGCTCCGCTCGTGGACAGGAGGACGCGGGGGGGATGCTCCGTTATCACTATGTCGGTTTCATCCCGCTGGCGGACACAGACAGCAGATCCGGTCGGTTTGACAGGACAGATGAAGGCAAACCGGGCGACGGTCAAAAAGACCAAAAACGGAGATTAAATGGCATGATGGGAAGCTGCATTAGCCTGTGATGTTGGTTTATTCCACGCCCCTTTCCCAGCCCCCCACCCCCTACTCTGCCTTACAAACACACACACACACGCACAGTTTCCTCATTTCATAGGACATTACACTTCCCCGGAGAATATTAGAACAATAGCTATGACTTCATATCCAACACATGTACAGTACAGTGCAAAAGCTTCGAGTCACCTTCATTTCTTTATAATAGATGCAGTAAAACATCCGCAAATATACATCAAACAAACAACTGTCTTGAGCAAGCTTGGTGATTTCTTTAAGCAGGAACAGTTCTCCAGGCTTCTTGGAGAACAGTTCTTTGGAGCTGTCTTGTTTTCTGTTCTCTGTCGAGATGACAATGATTAGGGCAGTGCATGAATGATGGTGTTCAGTTGTGTGTCTTTCACTCCACCGGCAGTGTGTTTAGGATCAAAAACAAATGATGATGAAAAATAAAGCCTGTCTTCCAGAAGTTATTACATGGAGGATCGACATCTTCTCCTGAGCCAACTAAAGGCGTCTCACAGGGTTCCATTCTGGGACCTATTTGATTTTTAGAAAAGGATGGGTGCGACTCTGGGTTAGGGATGTTACTGGCCCAGGTGGAGAAGTTCAAGTGGCGTTTATTAGTATGGGTTGAATGGAGCATGAGATTGACAGCTGGACTGGGATGGTGTCCACGGTCATGTAAATACTGCGCTGATCTGTTGTAGTGAGGAGAAAACTGAGCATAAAAGCAAAGCTGTAAATTTACTGGTCACACTTGTACAGTGGGACAGAGTTAAAAAGACTCAGATCAGATCAGGTTCAGATCCCATTCAGTTCATTTCCACCAGGATCTGATTTTGGATCCATTCACAGTGGCTTTTTTTGTCCCCCACAATCTGCATCTGTATTCAAAATTGCTCATTTTTTCAAAATTATACTGAAATACCTCACTAATAGTTGACCAACATATAGATTGCTTATTTCTTATTACATGTTTCCCTTAACTGATTAAACTTCAACATTCAAAAAAAAGACTTGGAAAGTTACCCTGCATTTCTGATTTAAATATGAAACAGGTACTCGAACGTAACTCAGTAAACATCTGCTCTGGCTGTAAGAGAGCCATCATCAATCAGTGAAGGCTTGTTTTCAGTCCCACAGAAAAACTTGTCTGTAAACAATGTAACAAAAGGTATTCTGAGACATCTAATAAACCACTGCGGTTCATTGTGAAGTCAAGATTTTCTCTTACTTGAAGGCAAACTTCAGTGGTACCAGAATTCCTAACAAGGTCAGAGCACAGGCATGCTTCTCATTTTAAAAAATGAAGTCTATGTAGAAGTGTCTTTTACCTGCTTAAGCTTCAGTGGCTCACAGGAACTTCTGTGGTTTTAGAGAAAACCCAAAGAAAATGATTCCACTGCTCCCTTAATCTTGACGAACTTTGGTGAGTAAAGTATGGCCCAATTTAGAGTACAATAGACAGTAAAATGATGATGATGATGATTGAAGGTGCTTTGTGATTGACAAGTCACTAATGCATGCTAATGTTAAGTTCTTAAAATTGGACTTAATGCACAAAGTAGAGTGGGAGAAATATGCTTTTGTTCCCACCAGACGCAGTCAAGATGTAGTCTGTAGACAAAAGGGTGTAATAATATAACTGTGGGGCACTTATCTGAAGAAAGTTATTTAAATTGAATTTTTAGATGCATGTTAATTTTGGCTCGAGTTTATTTCTGCATCAGTCTCATAGTCGCTGCTGAGATCCGTCATATTCTGCAGGTAATCTGCACATTTTAGTCAGGCAGTGGTGATTTATCACTGTCAGGACCTTTTATTGCTTTGCCTCCCATTCCTCTCCTCTCTGTAGCTACTTGCAGTTTGTTCATACTTAAAGCTTCGAGTACCAAATAAAGTACCTCCACACTTACAAAGCAACAATGTCATTTCACATAGAGATATAATACATTTAATATTAAATAACAAGCATAGTTTATTCTGCTTCTTTTTACCAAAACAATGGTGCCGTCAGAAGAGATGCAAAAGCATTTCATTGATGCAAGTTATAAGTCACAGTACTATTACAGGTCATAGTGAAAATTAAAAAAAAAACAAAACATCACAGACCAAAAAAATCCAACATCATAACAGAGGTCAAATAGAAATAATATCATTGGATATGAAATTTGACAATTGTAGTTTATAATTTATACAGATCCAGTTTTTATGAGTGCTTTCCCATTTTTGCCAAATTTCCCATGTAAACGTGTGTTTTAATCTGTAACTGTTGGACTGTTTTTCGTTCAGCTGTGGCTGAATAGTTTAGGGAGTAGTGCCGGGTGGCATTGCTTGGATTTTTTT